ATGATAGAGGCCGGATTTATAGGCACTAAAAAAATCGGGTTTTTGGGCGCCTAAAATAGGCAGGCAAAACAGAGCTTTGGCTCCCTGAATCTTAAATATAGGCACCTATATTTATCCTATATTTAGTATCCTAAATATGGGGCCACTCTTCAGGTTTGAGCATTTAGAGCAGGCAAGAGAAATGCGTGCACTGGTCGCTCACGATCTGGTCAGCTAAGATTTGCAACGCTAAGCTCCCCGGAAAGAGGTGATATTGCAGGCTGAACGCGGCTTGCTCTTCATCTCACGGCCCGACGCCCTAGGCCCACCTCCATTTCGTCGGTGTTGGTGTTGTTGCCATTCTCGAATCATGCCGGTGCCAGCCAGACAATGCTTGTTTTGTTTTTGGTGCATCGTCTCTTAGAGCAGTTCCAGTGGTGCGACTCTGTGTATAAGGATACATGGATACATGATCCATAAAGGATACATGATCCATGCCAGCCTCTCCAAACGTGCGCGCATACAGGGATAAATCCCACAGAAACAGACAATAGGCTACATAAAGTACAGAAAACGCCGAAACGACTTGGGCATGTCATTCGAATGTAACCTTGTGTGCGCATGACATGTTGGTGCACCTGCGTCGTGTGATCTACCAGCTCCGAGTTGCTCTTACACTGAAAAGGGCAGGGAAGGGATTTTGATTGTGTAGTCTACACCGAGCGTCAGCGGGCAAGTGGCAAATGTTCAAAGCGCACCTCCTCGCATCATGCTTTCGTGGCTTGTAATGAACCAATTAAAGAATTCATTTAGTACAAAGCGGTGGCTTGCAACAATTTGTAGTGTCTAACTGAAGTTGCTCAAGTGACCTGGTGAAGCACCCTTTAAGATGACAAGCAAAACAAAAACCATGTGAACATGTGGTTGTTTTTTTTAGACCAAGATCCTACCTTCCCCTGATGACACTCCACGGTTTCGCATTCGTTCTCCAGCGTCCTGAGGCTGCACAGAATCACCCCTACTTGCGAAATGACGATATCAAGCGCTGAAGCAATCTGACGAACTGGAAAGCATTTCGGTACCACCTAACAAACCAAAATAGTGAACTTGCGACAGTTGAAAGAATTACTGAATTTTTGCAGGATAATGCGAGTAAATGTACAAAAAAGTCCCAATTCCAAAAGTCTATGCTGCCGTCTACGAAGAGTACGTTCATCTAAGAGCCATCAGACGACAATCCGAAAGGGCATATAGACGCAGTGGAAGTTTAGATGCATACAAAAATGCACAGAAAATCCACAGTGTAATGCGCAGACGACTAGAAAATTTAGGTAAACGACGCTGGCGTGATTTTTGTGGTATGCTCTCTCCCCACACACCTGTTTCATAAATTTAGCTTGTAATTCGAGCATTTAGTGGCCCTATATCAGAGAGCTTCCCATTTCGTGCGCTTGCTGTAGCCTTGGACAAATGGGAAGTTGTAGCAGATGAATTCTGTCAACTTATCAGTAGGCCCGGCGCATCACAATGTGCTTTATTTGATAATTCTGTCGCGTTAGCCAGCCAGAAAATTAAAGCTTGCTATTGAGCCCCGCACCCTCAACTAGACCTTGTATTTACGTTAAGTGAGCTGCAATGCGCTGTAAAACCATGTGAAAAAAAAAATCGAACTCTCGACCGGATGGCATTACGCACAATATGCGAAAAAACCTTGGGCCAACGGGCACAATAATTCTCTTAGATATTTGCAATAATCTATGGACGCAAGAAATTGTACCCGAGTCTTGGAAGTTTGCTCGCATCATTCTGATCTTAGAACCGGCTAAGACGCCCTTGAGCTTTGAATCCTTCCACGCAATTAGTATGACAAGCTGTTTATGTAAGGTAATGGAAAAAATGATTGATGCGCGACTTCAATAGTGGTGCAACAGAACTGGTGTATTCTCCAACTACTTAACAGGTTTTAGGAAACAGAGATGCAGAATGGATGCAATACTGGACATAGCAACGTATGTGGAGCATGAACGTGCATGTGGTAGTTTGACGGTTGTGTTCTTAGACATCAAAAGGGCATTTAACACAGTCAGTCACACTCATGTTTTGCTGAGTATGTTGGAACTTGGACTGTCCGGCAGGTCTTTGCGGTGGATATCTATAAATTTTCATCAGGTCGCAAGGTATCCATTCAGACGAGCGAAGGAAAGAGTGCGGAACACGATGTCAGACAGGGAGTGCCACAAGAAAGCACACCCAGCCTTTGTTTTTTTCAACTGTGTTATGGCTGATTTAGCTAAAAGACTGCCTTCTAGGTTGAAATACTCATTATATGCAGATGATGTGCGCATTTGGGCATCTGGCACGGACGTTCGGCTAATTAAAATTGCATTGCAAGAGGGCATAAATATTATTAACCACTTTTTAAAAGAAAGAGGAATGGTTCTGTCACCCGCAAAGACAGATGTATTGCCCTTCACCCGTAAAAAGTTAAAAAGGCTTCAATCTCAATTTAGAAGGAGAACCACTGATGACTGTGACACAGCATCGGTTTCTCGGAGTAATACTTGATAGGCAGCTATCATGGGCACCTCACACAAAGAAACTCGAAAACGAGGTGAATTTTCCAGCAAATATACTCCACAGAATTGCAGGGACATCATGGGGCAGATCTGTATCATCCATGCTCGCTGTTCACAATGTCTTAATACGACGAAAAATTGCATATTCTGCAGCAGTCTTACACGGCCTTTCCCGCACTTTAGAGAGCTACTTCAAAGACTATTAGCTAGGGGACTGCACGTCTGCCTATGTGTTCCACGAGCAACTTCCAGCAGCCTTGTCATAGCAGAGAGACTTGACAACCACCCTTTTCATTCATGAGAACAATCAAAACATGCCGCCATTTTTTTCGCTTACACACGCAACACAAAGACCACCCATTGGCACTGGAGAATTTACAAAGAGATAAAAGCAATGCTCATGAAGAAATACACGGTAATCTGTATATATTACCAAGAACTGAACTTCAGAGCTCTGAACTGGACTATTCTGCATAGTTGCTTACAATACCAAGCATTGAATTCTCAGTAGATGGCATTATGAGAAAAAGAGGCATGTTCATTCAAGCTGCTCAACAACTAGCGCTTTATCAGATACACATGCGGCATCCAGTGTACATACACGTTTACACAGATGGATCAAGTATTACAACGTCTTCAACATCAGCATTTATTATACCACAGCTCAATATTCAAGAATCATTTAAATTATGTCGCATGACGTCATCTACTACAGCTAAACTTTTCGCTATTCTGTATGCTATAAAGTTTATAAGCTCGGCAGCAGACGCGAGAAAATGAGTATTTTTCAGCGATTCACAGACCGTTTTAAGATCACTCTCCAGTACAAACACGACAGTAATTAGTGATAGTATGAAATATGAAACGCTGAAAGAGCTCACCAAAGCAAGCAAGGCGCAACATGAGATTAAATTTCAGTGGATACCTGGCCATTGCAACATTCCTGGAAACACAGCTGCCGATGAAGCGGCATGACAAACACATCGTAGAGATGTTACTGTTTATTTACCAATTTCGAAAAATGAATTGCGTAGTATTATAAAGGCTACAACTGTCAGAATAAGCAGACCTGCTTGGGAGAGGCGCAGAATGTTCCGAGAGAAAGTATTAAACCCAGTCTACGATGACTGTAAGGCGAGTGGTTCTTCATAATCATTGGTGCATACATGTTTCACAGCTTTTCCAGATTTTCGCAAACCTTCATTCACTAAAAGAGAATCGCTCTGAGTAAAAGGCTTCGTATTTACTGCGTAAATCAATGATGAACTCACTATATTTATACTGCAAGTTGCGTTTCTTCCCTCTTAGGTGTTGGGATAAGTGGCATGATGGGATTTTTTTTTACATCTCGTGCAGAAGACAATAGCTTCAAAAAACTGAATAAAAGTAAAATTAACGCTTGATGTCAACTCGTGGCAACTATATGTTTAACCTTACTCACCTTTGGTGAAACTGCTCATGTTTATTTCCCGCCATGCTGTATTCAACTGTTTTAAACGTACACCAAAGATCGAACACAGTACAGTGTGATATCATATGATGGCATACGATCAGCTTAAAGATTTCGTAAGCGTGAGTCGATTCTGGTTCCTTTGTCAAACCCACCACGGTGGTATTGTGGTTACGGGGCTCGGTTGCTCAGTGAAAAGTTTAAAACGTTGCCAATCGACAGATGACTATGTCAGAAACCACAACGCTTTTATGAAACGCAGTTATAACAGCGTTTCTACCGTTATAATGTTGTTATTAGATTGCAGAGTGTTATTAGCTGCACCCTCTTAACAGTGCGGACTAAGACATTCACCGCTTCTTTCTAAATGAAAATCTGTACCTACTTCACAGCTTTCTTTATATGCTGCCGTTGTTTTAAGATTTCATTTTGTTTGTTGCCCCGGGCGAAAAGACGCGTTAACGATCTGCACACAGAGCGGCTTCATCTGATGCGATGGATATGCCTCACAACAAACAATCCTTGAAGCTGCCACTCCCACACTCGCACGCTATACCCCCGTACACTTACATATACCGAGGATAGTTTCGTGCAGCTAGTAATCTACCTGATGAATTGTACGGCTCAAACATTTACGAGCCCAAACTATGTCGAATAAAATAGATCACTATAGGGGAAAATGCTGTAGGCCCGTGTGCTAAGATTTGGGCGCACGTTGAAGAACCCCAGGTGGTCAAAATTTCCGGAGCCCTCCACTACGGCGTCTCTCATAATAATATATGGTGGTTTTGGGGCGTTAAACCTCACGTATAAATCAATCAATCAATCGAAATAGATCACTAGGCTAACTGACTAATACACGCTGCTTCTTTTCTTTGTTTGTTTTAGTTGTTACTCTTGTACGCACAGAACTTGTGGGACATAGCGTAACGAAAAAGCCTGACGTCTGTTGGGAACTTGCAGAGACCCCGTCCCACCCTGACACGGAAGACGGAATGGAAGTGTCCTCCGCTGGAGGGGCCTTCGTGATCGCCGTCGCCATCGCCGGCACGGTGGGCAACGCGCTCACGATTGCCGCGCTGCTACTGCGCATGCGCCGGGAACACAGCGGCAACGCGTCGTCCGTGTTTATTGTGAGCCTGTCGGCGGCCGACCTGTGTTTCTGCTCCCTGAACCTGCCCTTCGCGGCGTCCAGTCTGCTGCGAGGGGCTTGGACCCACGGTCCCCTGCTTTGTCGACTGGTGGCCGCTGGCCGGTACCTCAATGTTGGAGTCTCTCTCCTCTCCATTACAGCCATCGCCGTCAACAGGTGGGTGAACACATACAGTTTCCTATAAGTACGCTAGAGGGAACTCTGGCGCTAGCGTCTATGGGATCTGCAACGCAGAGCGCTTCAGCGAGCAAGACACGGATTTGTCTAATCTTCGTTCTTCACGCTCCGTTTGACTTCGCGTGAGTTAGAGCCGCTGTCACAAGACGGCAATCAGCAAATGTTCAGCTGTTTAGGTTCACCAATTTAAATCTGATCACAATATTGACAACAGTCAATTCTGTTATTCGAAACAAAAACAAAACAAAACGCAGGAATAAACAAAGCCACAAGTGCGTTGGAACCCCAAAAGTGCGAAGACAATGCAAATCTGTGTGATGGTGTACCAACCATCATTCTCATGGTACCTGAATGATCGCAGTGCCAGAGTTCCCTCTAGCTATCTCAGGAAGCTCTACAGGTTAACTGAGCCACGGGAACATAGGCGCTACGTTTTTAAGAGTGCATAATTTTATTTACCTTTGCGCCGCAGGTCCAAAGCTTAACGAGTATTCAAATTTTGAGAAATAGAGAGCATTTGGTGGCTGGGAAATTTATGGAAGTGTATCATACTAGAAAAGAAGTGATTGTGCCAGTGATACATTTGTGGTGTTGCGCAACAGAGAAAGAAATTTTCAGATTTGCTGTAGACAAAGATTACGGCGATTTATGGCATGCTGGGTAGCATGCAAGTGTGCTGTTAGTAGCGCCAAGAGTGTTAAAAAGGCTCTAGAAAGGCCGCTCTTCCAGCTTCAGCTATGATGTATGTGATCTTCAATGTCCCGTAGCGAACTTGCGCCGTTTGAAGTTTCGCATTAGGAACCAACCACCCTATAGCAACGAATTCCCTTAAAGGCCTACTGCAACAAAATTTTACTTGGTTGGATATGGCCATAAGTACGTGGTATGTATACGGTAAGTTAACTACAGCGAAAAATATCCCGTCGTGGGTTTAATTTATAATTGGTGCTTCAGTTGTCAGCAAGCCGACGACGTGGAGATCTAGCGGTGAGCCCAGGCAAATCGGACAGAACCGGGTATGACGATTACTACAAAACGCCATTGCGTCGCTCCTTGTGAGCAATACTCCCTGCCGCTGGATTGCGTTTTCCTGCGTTGAAGCCGCTTTCAATGCACCGCGTTTGAAACGACTGTGTGCGTTTGGGCTGCCATGGCACCACCTATTGACAGCGCGTTCAAAACGCGCTCGTACTACATTGAAGTCGTTGGCCAATCAAGTTCAAGTCGGAAAAAGCAGATAAGGCATACAACATGCCGGGCCTACTTAATATGACACAAAAAGATACTGACAATGCATAAGCGACTAAGTAAAACTACGGAAGAGTGTGACATATGGCAGTGGAACTGCCGGGGATTCCGACGAAAAAAGGAACAGCTTTCACAGCTGGTGGCCATGCAGCCGAGGCCACCTGCTGTGATAGCTCTCCAAGAGGTGGGAATAAGGCCAAGCATGCAGAGTTATGACACTCATGGTGAAGCTGTGAATAATAACAACGAATGGAGAGTGGCGACATTAGTCCACAAATCCATAACCGCAATACAGCATAAACCAATAGAAGGAATCGAAATCCCACATATCATTACGGAAATCCTATATAAAGAGAAGAAAAAGAAAAGCATTTTCATCCTGAACATTTATAGCCCACCTCGACAAAGAAAGGCAACTTTCGACAAACTATTTGAAGATTCAGCAAAACTAGCGAAGCAGAACACGCTCATAGTGGTGGGGGACTTCAATGCAAAAGACCCAAGCTGGGGATACCTCACTCAGGATGCTAAGGGCAGAAACATAGCCCAGCAAATTGAAATTACAGGTATGACACTCCTGACGGATCCAGCAATGCCAACAAGACTAGGAAACAGTAACTCCAGAGACACGACACCGGATCTAACTATGTGCAAAAATTGTCAAGAGGTGGAATGGCACAACACTCTAGAAAATCTAGGCAGTGATCATTACATATTATGCACCACGATACACACAGATCAGATACGTAAAAAGATTGGCGTTGCCAAAATAACTAATTGGCATGCGTTCAGAAAATCACTGGAACAAAGGTTGACTGCCTGAGGTATAACAAACTTGAGTGATTGGTGTGACGAAATAAGGCGTCAAAAAGAAAGGTACAGTAAAGAAATTACGCGATCAAGCAATGCCCCTGAGGTCGACTCACACCTACTACATCTTTGGGAAGCAAGAAGAAGCCTTACGAAAAGATGGAAAAGACAGAAACGTAACCGTGAATTGAAAGAAAAAATCAAAGATATCACCCAGCGCGCAGAGGATTACGCCAATCAATTAGCTGCAACTAATTGGGCCAATTTCTGTGATTCACTCAATGGAGCGCTGAGTACGGCCAAAACATGGAACATACTGAAAGCCATGATAGACCACACGAAGACAAAAAATGAAAACAGTAAAGCCGTTGAACGATTGCTGCACTTATACCCAGGTACAAAAGAGGACCTCATTCAAGCCATGCATAAAAAAATGCTTTGGGGAAGACGGAGCGACGCCTTCATACCAAGGAAGGTATAAAGGATCACCGCAACCTGATTTAGACAAGCCTTTTACGGACGCTGAGATAAGAGCAGCCATATTTAGTAACAAGAAGAACACAGCCGCGGGTGCAGATAAAATCACCAATGGTATGATCAGGAACCTAAATGACGAAGCCATTGAAGCTCTCACTAAATACATAAACAAACATTGGCTGGCTGGAGCTGTCCCACCAGAATGGAAACATGCGATTGTGGTCATGGTGCCTAAACCAGGAAAAAAACTTGCCATTGAGAACATGAGACCTATCTCGCTCACGTCCTGCTTAGGAAAAATATTTGAAAAACTGGTGAACACCAGGCTCCTCAACCATCTCGAGAAGAACAACCCCATGCCCGAAACTATGTTTGGCTTTCGCTCACACCTTTCTACGCAAGATGTTCTACTACTTTTAAAAGAACAAGTATTAATGGACATCTCTAAGGTTGGGGAAAACGTCGTTATGGCAGTTGACATGAAGGGAGCCTTTGATAACATCAGTCACAAAGCAATACTAGAAGGTCTGGAGGAAGCTAACTGTGGAGAACGAATGTTCGACTACGTCAAAAGTTTTCTTAGTAACAGGACTGCAACAATCAAGCTGGGAGATTACGAATCCGACATCATTAAACCTCCAAACAAAGGAACACCCCAAGGAGCGGTCATTTCACCGACACTTTTCAATGTCGCCATGACAGGCCTTGCAGGAAAACTCAAAGATATTGCTGGTCTACAACATGCGATATATGCAGACGATATTACGGTATGGACAACCACAGGCAGCCTAGCAGAGAAAGAAGACAGGTTACAACAGGCAGCTAACACCATAGAAAAGTACGCAAGGATACGGGGTCTTCAGTGCTCAGCCGAAAAATCAGAGCTCATTCGCTTCACGAAGAGAAAAGCACGGAGGATCGACCCGAATCTAAAGCTGGAAGTCAAGCTCGACGAAAATGTCATTCCGGAGAAAGATACCGTATGCATACTAGGAATGTGGCTTCAAGCTAATCAGAGATGTCTGCACACACTAAATCAACTCAAAACATCAGTACAGCAGATCACACGCATGATCTCGCGAATAACAAACAACCATAAAGACATGAGAGAACAAGATACCCTAAAATTGGTCAAAAGCCTCGTCATCAGTCGCATTACATACTCGCTTCCATATCAAATTATGAACAGGGAAGAGAAGGAAAAAGCAAACCAAATAATTAGAATGGCCTACAAGACAGCCCTGAGATTACCGCGGAATACTTCAAACGACAAGCTGCTGGCGCTTGGTCTTGATAACACAATTGAAGAATTATCCGAGGCCCAGTTACTAGCGCAAGAAAATCGCCTTCTCCAGACCCCAACGGGCAGAGCAGTCCTAACAAAACTAGGGCGCGATACTTTACTACAAACACACCAAGAAACTAAAGAAGTACCAAGCGAATTCAGAAAATGGTACACCGTATTGCCAATACCAAGCAACATGGATCCTACTCTGCATGCTGGAAGAAGAAAGGCAAGGGCTGACTACATATAGAAAAAGACAAGATTTTTGAACGCGGCCAGATTCACTGACGCCGCGCCTTATCAGACCAATGCAAAGAGATATGTGTGTGTAGCCACCGACCATAGAGGGAAAATTACAGCCTGCGCTTCAATAGATCAGGCGTCGACAACACAAGCAGAAGAAGTTGCTATAGCACTCGCAATAAAAGAGAGATGGACGCGAAACACTCCATTAACAATCATTTCAGATTCGCAAAAAGCTTGCAGAAACTATCTAAAGGGCAAAATTGGAGCACAAGCGCTCAGTATATTGGTTGGGACAGGATGGGACCCCACAGTGAAATACGTACAGGCTGTGACTTGGGCACCGGGGCACGAGGGCGTGACAGGGAACCTGCGCGCGGATGAGGCGGCTCGAGGCTTCACAAATCACCGAGCCACTCAAGCCAATGAAAGTGATGACCCTACACCCGTGGACCCTTGCTTCGCAACAATTTTAAAGTACTATAGAGAAAATAGGCAGCTGTATCCACGTCCTCACAGCAAGCTCAGCGCTGCGGAGGCAACAGCGCTAAGAAAAATACAGACTAACACTTACATAAATCTGCACACTCTTCACCTGATCTACCTCACGGCGTACAGAGATATGTGCCCGTGGTGTGGAGCCACCCCAACACTCTTTCACATCACGTGGGAGTGTGCAGAGCACGACGAAGAGCACGACACCACTGTCACGTGGGAGGAATGGGAGGCTCTGCTGTCTAGCCCAGCCCTAGTGGATCAGCTACGACTGATCCAAAGAGCTGAACGGATGGCTCGCGCCAGTGGGGCCCTGGAACAGGGGCACCACCCTGCCAGCCAGACTTCGCTCTCCACCCCGTATATTCTTCGGGGCACTGGAGTTCAAGCCTGTCTGGATTATGTATATAATAAAGGTTTGTACTACTACTACTACTAAGTTCAAGTCAAGCAGCGTTTGTGATTACGAAGGCCAGAAACTGCAAACCCACCAGTGGGGAAGCCCAGACTAGCGTTCGATAAAAGGCACGTTCACGCAGCTCTCTTAAACACACACTAAAGGGTGCGTCCGCGATGTGCCTGCTCGAGAAGGGCAGAGCAGACGATTTTTCTGCCGTTTACGTCACTTCCGGTCAGCCGTCATGGCGTCGTTTTTTTCTAGTTTCGGTCTCAAAAACACTATCGTTTGCAAGGTTTTTTCCTAAAGTAAGCGCTTGTATTTCGAAGGCGACATTTGGCAGGCAGCACTACCGCTATCTAGGCAACCTATATATTGACTTTTTACGGAGTGCCAAATTTCGTTGCAGTTGGCCTTTAATAACCATGTGTTATTAACTTGACACGTTTTATTATCGAAGAATGCAAGTCAAGCAAAAAAATATACATCTAAGCCTCAGTACAACAAAACCTTGGTCATGCAAATATCGCGGTGTGAACAAAAATATTAGTTTCATTCCAAATTCGAATCACCAGAAAATATGGAAAATTAGCTTGCGACAAAAGAAACTTGGCGTACATTTTAATTTATTGTTCCTCGGGGCCGCATTAACGTCACAAGCAGCTCTGCATGGTTGGAAGTGTAGTTTTTACACGTCAACAATCACACTTGCACTCGTACATATCCGTCCCGTGTGTGCATGTGTAATTGATGAACCAGGTGAACGGTGATCCGCGAGTAGTCGCCCCTTCCTAATATTTGTACGCTTTTTTGCAAGACACTAGTGTACTGCGGCTAAAGTCACTTGAGAAACGCTCTTGGCACACGATGGATGAATGCCAAAAAAAAAATGCCCCTAATAAACTTCAACTTCAGATACGTGCTTGTGGTGCGCCCATCGCTGTACGGCCGACTGTACGGGCGGGCCGGTATTTGGTGGATGGTGGCTGCCACGTGGCTCGCTCCCTGTTTGCTGCTGGCCCCTACTCTGGCTGGCGTGTGGGGTCGCTTCGGGCCAGACCCGCGCAGTCCTGGATGCTCAGTGGTTGCATCGGGCGGAAGGTCGCCCAAAGCATTCCTCTTCGTTGCCGCCTTCCTCGTGCCCTGTCTGGCGATTGTATACTGCTACGCCGCCATCTTCAGGCATGCTCGGAAGGCCAGGTTCGTGTTTGATTGCAAAGTCAATCATTTGGACACTGTAGAAATCGCCATTTCTGTTTTCTTTTTTTTTTTGGGGGGGGGGGGGGGGGGGGCATTTGAGCAACATTTCAAAAAGGTTTGCCGAATAGTTAGACCAATCGCTTACTTTAACGTTTTCTTTATTGCACAACATAGGATAACATGTTTTCAAACAGAGCGCTGCAGTTATTTTACAGTAACGTGCAACGGCAACACAATACGATTATATGCGTGCAACACATGACAGTTACATGCATTAAGTTTAGAGTGCACAGTTGTAATTCCGAAAATATGAGGTCGGAAGGTTAGACGTTTGCCGTTTTATGCCCAGTCCATGTTCAGGTTGCATGAAAAAAGAAAAAAAAGTTGAAACAATAAGCATTCGTGTCCTGTACGATTGATGTGTATAGTAAATCTTGAAGTATTATTGCGCCTTTTCATGAGTCGTGATAAGAACACCCAAAAAAGAATAGTTTTTGCAAGGAGTATACGGGCAACAAGATATGGACATGTCGTTGGTTCAATTGTACATGTTTAAGGAGAGCAAAACAATTTTTTGCGTACCCTTGCCGCGAGACGACGCTTAATAAGCGAGAAAAGGCGCGAAAAAAAACGTGGATGGGAACTCCACCTTGAGATTTCCGCATCGCACACCATGACGTCATAAATTTTAAAGACATCCACTGGGTGCTACGTAGCTTCTAATTCATAAAACAGAAGTACATTGTCATCTGTGGGTGCCATGCACCTGTAGCATATATGAAGTTTCTGAAAATTTCATCGAACCAACGTCACGTCAATACACAAAATACATTTTAAAATTTCTGACCTCACGCGCGGTGATTTCGGCGCGAAATCTAAAAAAATTAAATTTGAACCTCAATTTTATCGTCAAATAGTGAACTTATGTATGGTTGTGAAACACGTGACATTAAAGTTATCAGCGTGCAGTTTGTCAATCTAGAGCAAGCTATTGTTTCTCTTAAGTGATCCTCTAACTTGTGGCGAAAGGTGTTACTAGCTGACGCAAAGCTACGGTCACTGTCGATACGCAGACTGCAAGTGGAGGCGCACGGTGAAGCCGCGCGTCGACGCCGGGACGAGTGGCGCATCACACGCATGGTGCTCGTCATCTTCCTGTCGTTCCTCGCCTGTTATTTACCCATCACCATCGTCAAGGTAAGACCTGCCCGAAGACCTTTCAAAGAGCCGTTACGTGTGATCTAACTGGACGCTAGGGCCCGTATTCACAAGCCAACCTCAACCTTACCTCGAGTTTTCCTTATCGATTTTAAGCCTTTATTGCGCTTGACGAACAAAATAGGCCCGCATGCATGAACCAATCTTGTTGTCATCTTTGACCCTGTTACCATTTCTGTGCCCGTATAAAGCACGTAGAGAGTACAGAAACTTGAGGAAAACGTGAAGTAAGGCCAAAGTTCTTTTGTGAATACGGGCCTAGTTCTCTGGATGACTGCCCGACGGCAGGGCAGGAAACCTTTGGTCAGTTACACGTACAAGATTTTAAGACGTAGGTCGTTAGTCTCGTGCTCATCTCCATCCTTCCGTCCATTCCCTGGCACGGTGTCAGGTGGGCGCCGGGGCGCGCCAATGGACGCGCCCCGGTGGTCTATACAACGCCCGCGTGGGTCTACATGTGCACAGCACTCGCACTTCGCGAGCGTGGGGTTGCTGTGCCCAGCGTGCCCACTCATGCAAGGAAGGAGATGCGCGCGTCGTGTTCCATTCTGACTGACTCCGTCTCACTGGGCACAGGCGGCTCTGGGCACATGCCTTCGCCGAACACACTTTGCAATTCACAAAGTGTCCTTTAATTTTTCAGCAGCGAATATGTCCTTACTGGCTCCTTCGCCGGTTGTGTAACGCGCTGCTCATGCGGCCTTGGTGTGTGGCGGCAGCGAGGCTAAATGTGAGGCTCGGTAGGAAGGGGGGAGAGTTCCGAGAGAGGCTAGGAGAGAGTAAGAAGGCAATACCTAGCCGAGAGGGTGAAAGTGGATCTTGGGTCCAAGAGGGACGAGGGTGAGACTTGGCGGAAAGGACGAACCAATGGAAGGCGCGTAAATCTTCGTGTTCAAACTGTTTCATGCTCCTTTTTTTTTCCTGCCCCTATTACTTAGTGTAAAACTGTATGTGGTAAATAAACTCAATTCAAGAGCACAGACTAAGTTTAGGCTTAGCAGAAAGCTCGTCAGAACCTATCTGTATGCAATAAGTATGGCGGTAGAGTATAAAAGATGGTGTCCGTTTTTCGGGTGAGGCTCTGCGGAAAGCGTGCCAGAAATCGGCTGTTTGTAGGTCGCTCGATGAAGTACAAAGGAGAGGAACGCAATGCTGCCAACTCTAGGGAAATTTTCCTCGGGCTCCTTATGTTCTTATTTAGGGACGGCTTACTGCTCTCCCATAGTTGAGTACCAAGTACTCAAAATCGTTAAACATTTTTTTTTTTCTAAACACAGAAGGCCCATTCTTCAGGTGTTTGTTTTTCCAAGAATGACCAAGGCGGCTTGAATCCCGAGGAGGACGCCGCACGACGTTGTCAATAGACAGCCAATATGCTATACGTGAAGAGAGGCATTAGATTTGCTGCATGTTTCTACGGCTTTCATTAAGTCGAAGTGGTTGAATTTGTTTTTTGTTTGCAAATTTTGCGCTTACTTTTCTATTTAACCTCGAAGAAGGCCTTGAGTAGGACACCGTAGTTCAAAGTGGCTCTGACAACACCGCGACGCTGGTTACGCCGCAGGTGGTGGACGCCGAGGTTCGACATCCAGCGGCACACTTGGGCAGCCAGCTGCTGCTCTACCTGAGCGCGTGCATCAACCCCATAATCTACGGAGTCACAAACCGCCAGTATCGACGGGCCTACATGCATCTTCTCGGCTCTGCCGCTGCTCTGTGCTGTTCCCAAACATCCTGCCCAGTGGAACAGAAGGACGGCAAGCAACACGACTCCCAACAGACCAGTCTTTGAACCACAAACCTGAAGGAATGCTTCGCTTGGTAATAATTTATTAGACTGGCATGAAATCACACGTAGAACGCTGCAAAGCATCGAATCATGCTAAATTTTTTATGTTTACGAAGAGCACGATGGTAAGTGGACACAAGTCTTTTGCGGTTCAGAGGCAGCGATGTGCTCCGGCGCCCTTGTTTTCTGCTGTACGGGACGAACGCACTTTCTTCTACCTTTACGTGCCTGTACTGCAACATACGCTCGTCAGTTTGGAGCTAGGTGTTTGAACAAACGAAATAGTTTAAGACGTTAGCGCTTCGTGCTATTATATGAATTAATTACTATGTTCATAAGAACGCGGCCGGAATACAGCAACTACTATGAATAGTTATGAAGTCACCTATCTTTGAAGGCATAGAGTAAGAATAATAATTGATGAGGCTTAGTGCCCCAAATGAATTCCTGGTGTCGTTGCATACTGCAAGCGTGTGCAAGATTCCTGTATGCGAAGCAGCGCGAAAAACGAGGAGACAGTAAGAAACACGCCGGAAAGAGCGCTGAACTGAACTGTTCACGGTAGCGCAAGTGCAGACACTCCAGAGACGTTCGTTGAGAGCAGGTCAAAAGCAGCGTTTATCTGAGTAACTCTATATGCCTCCATGTTTCCGACCATAGAATGCGGCAAAGACTCGTGGCATGTCTTCGAGATGGCTGGAAGATTCCCACAATCTGGATGAGCGGCGTGGGAAGGTATATGGAATTCTCGATGGCGTGTGTCAGCGTCAAGCGTTGTGCGAGAAGGGTAGATCACACAGAAAGTTCCAGGATGATACACTAAAGAGCTCCAAGTGAAAGAAATGAACTTAAAACGTGTATGGTTTCGCGCTCGTTGGTTTGCATAGATGAAGCCACATTAAGAAGCTAGAACGAATGCACATTTAATGCAAAACTCCTGGTAGGCAGTCCCAGATATACATATTTGGAAAGTAAATGACTAGGACTCAGAAATATATATTCTTACTTCACTAGGAAGGTCGCTTGAAGCAATACAGCTTAAGAGGAAACGAATGTGTCACGTTAAAAAAACACAGAATATCACCGAGACATCTGCAAGAAAGAAATTGTAAGAAAAGTTGTAGTCGTGAATGTGGTACTTAGACGGTGTTCTTCCTTAGCACTTAGCTATAGAGGTCCTCATATGAGCAGGAGGTTAAGCTCGACCCCTCGGTGAAAATAGCCTAATACAGCTTCGAAGACAATTTTCAATCAGCAAGGACCCAGCGTGTGTGCATCGCGCAGCCGGTTTGTACTTCTCACGTGAAAATGCTTGGGTCGATCGAACAAAAGCTTAAAGCAAAAGTCTTCTTTATAGTGACAGTGAACGCAATTAAGATGTACCTTTCCTTTTCTTTTCAGCGAAGCTGCGGACAGAACTATGCTGCACGCGGCTTCGAAATTCGGCATTTGGTCGACTCTGAGTGGCATAAACTTTCGCGAGGTGGACTCGTTATTTACAGTGCGTCAATGTGAAGCCCGACGGCTGCGGTCGTGGCAGTCTGGCAGCATCTAGTCCAAACATTGTGCTGTACTCCTGTTCCACCCTTCTGAGGAAAGTGTCACTGTTTCGGTGCGTGTAGTGCCAAAATATTGATTATATACTGAGATTGCTGTGGTGAAAAAGTGGGCCAGGGAGGTTTCACCGAGTCTCATACCCACTACCTCAACAAATGAACATTTCATATTGCTAGCGTTTTCTCTCTTTTTTTATGTAGTCGTAAGTGAGACACTTGCTGCTACGCGTAATTAGTGAAGATTGAGATATTCCTCGATATAAAAAAAATTGCATGCGGCGATCGAACCTGTGCTGCACAGGGTGGCCTCACGTATTGCGTGCTTTGACAAAACGAACTGAAGGTAAGAATAGAAAACAAGCTTTATGCGATCACTTGTCTCCCGACATCTGTACTAAACGGGAGATTATTTGTCTTCAACGCTACATATCTATAGAGCATAGACCACACTGCCAAGTAAAGAATCTGTCACCCTTTCTACTGTAAACGCAATGTTGAAATTGTGTTTAAATGCTCTTTTTCTGTTCTTTTATGTTCTGTCCTTGTGTTGATGTGTTTTTTTTTCTGTTCTTCTCGCTTTATTATGTTATACTTTACATAGTTTTGTGTTCCTTTCTTGTGTTCATCTTACGTGTTTCGTGATTGCCTATTTTCTGTCCTATCGTCTCTTTTTTTACAGTATTTATACTGTTAGTGCCTCCAAGCGCAGTGTGTTTATATCCTCGACGCTCACATTCCGATGTCGATTAGTTGGCACCGACCGGCAAATAGGCCCTTTTTAGGCGGTTAGCTTGCGCATGCGAAGCGATGGTTACGTGACGTCTGCCACATTTTTGGGGCGTCTATAGCGGCAGGGCGGCGACAGGTGCGAGCTGTGTGACGCCTGGCGTCTCAGGCTTGCAAATTATCCCGACAAAAACAAAGCCCCTTAGGTTCCTACCCAATTCATATCTACAGCTTCGGAGGCCAAGGACGCCGAAGCTGTTTCGAAATCGGCGATCTCCATTGGAGAGTGCTGTTCGGACTAAAGAAAAGTTTTTGGCGCTTTAGGGTGGGGACATAGGCGGCATTTACTCTGGCGCGGATGCCATGTTCGTGCTCGCGACCTCTTCCCGGGGTGTCCGCTCATAGGCGTGGGACGAGGGGGAAAAATAGTGGCGCGGTGGCATCACCCCTCTATTCTACTAGAAAAAATTATTCTAGTACTCTATACCCCCCTTTTCAAACAATGGTAACCCTCAAAAGAGAAGCGCACGCATTATATTAAAGAAAAGATACATTAGCTATTGAGCGATGCTGGCGTTCATGTGGAAGCGCGTGATGGCATTCCAAAGGTACAGCGTGCTCGGATTACGTGCATCAAACGTGAGAACGCCAACGCGAGACATGAGACAACAAAACGAGCTCCAGTGAACCCGTAAACTGCTCTGCAGTTAAAAAGAGCTCGGTGAACGCTGCCACAAGACAAAGAGAGAACTGCTGAATGGTTACTCGAAGATACACCGATCAGAGCAATATCGTGTATTACTCATTTCCTCTCGCGCAACGGCAGTCCCATCTCTAATGGCTTCAAGAACTAAGGACTATCCCTCATGAACACGGCAACTCTGTGACGAATTTCTGCTATTAACCACTTTTTTTAAAGTAAATGTTGTGTCATGCTCTTCCTAAAACAACATGTTTAGCAACATCGCCACGGCTGCTCAGCAATAGCGATCCCGAAAAGTTACGTAATTTAGCAACACACCTTTCAGCTTCATTTAAAAAAATACTTTAATCTCCTCTTTACCGTATAATGTTCAAGCCAGCAAGCGAGAGCAATGAAGGTTCAATTGTCTCGTTGATTCCTCGCGCAAGCAGGGCAATACGTACGTTTTTCAGCTTTTTTTCCTCCAGCGCACATGCGTACTACCATGACAATAACCATAAACATCATCACAACCTTCATCGCGAGAGCCCGCATTTGTTCTCGAGACATCTCCACGCGCTGCGGGGTTCATCGAAATCAAACCCGTTCAACGGTGTTCCTGCGTCGTCGTTATTGGACAAATCTCCCTGCGCTACGATGGAAGAAAGTACAGCTGATCGGGAGACGTCAACGGCGGACACAGAAGCGTCCCGTTCTGACGTTGAGAGATCGGGGCAGAGAAAGAGAAAGTCTCACCGCCGTTCGAAGAAGTCTAGAAAGGACGCGGTGGTGAAAGCTGACGAAGCGATGAAAGCTGGAGAGAACCAGGAGGTATCATCGACTGACAAGATTTTGAGCAGCAGCGACAAGTGCGTGAGTGACAAGAACTTGAGCAGCAGTGACAAGTTCTTGAGTGACAAGGACTTGAGCAGCAAGCTGGAATCCTCGGAGAAGAGTTCTGGATCGCGGAGGCGAAAGAAACGTTCGCGGAACAACTCGGTGTCGGGAAAGGCACCTCATGCGGCCGCGGAGGACGCTCAAGATCGAAAGGATGGTGACACCGAGTCGAAGGCGCCGTCTTCGACGGCTAGCGTCCCCCCTCATGCTGCCGCGGAGGACACTCAAGATCGAAAGGATGGTGACACCGAGTCGAAGGCGCTGTCTTCGACGGCTAGCGTTACGGTGGTCGAGGCTCCACGATTGGTACCAGAGGAGACAGCGCCACGGCCACATGTCGCGGAATCCCAGGATGTGACTCCGCGATCGGTGCCAGAGGAGACCGCGCCACGGCTACAAGTTGCCGAATCTCCGGAAGTGAGTGATGACCATGCCGCAATGTTCGAAGTGTTCTTTTGCTTAAAGGGAACCCTCAACTTGTGTGTGTGTGTGTGTGTGTGTGTGTGTGTGTGTGTGTGTGTGTGTGTGTGTGTGTGTGTGTGTGTGTGTGTGTGTGTGTTTGATGTTGCGTTTAGCCTCCTCACGAGTTTACGTACATTTCATTAACCATTTACAATTAGTTTATTTCAGAAATTAAGTGTAATTTAAATGCTCGTTTTCTGCGTTATACGCAATTTACCGTGAACTAACAAAATAAAGATGCCAAGTAATGTGTAAGGGATGTTATAAGTAATTGTAAGGTAAACGAGAAGAAAGGAAACTGAAGGAAAAGTAACTTGCCACCGGCAGTGACCACCGAACCTCGAAGAACTTCGAATAGCGCGTTCGATGCTCTACCAACTGGGCTATGGGGGCGGTCGTCACTTCGTCCAAATTATAACGTATATATGTGCATTTGGACGCTCCCAGATTTAAATGCACGTAGGTACCCTATTATGTGGTCGCAGTGATGACTGCCTCTGTAACTCAGTTTGTGCAGCATCGAACGTGCCATCCGAAGGTCGTAGGGTTGGGCCCTGCCGGCGGCAAGTTATCTTTTCGTCAGTTTCGCATTTACCTTTCAATCACTACTAACATTATTTCCAATAATAATCTCGGAATCATTGTTACTTTCAAATAATAAGTTGAGAGATTATCACTTGTCTACTA